CTAGGGTTAGTGTCTGTATGTTCTTTTGATTTGCTTAATTACATGGCGAGTAGTACTCATAGCAGGAGAATCACAATATAAGGCCGAAAGTTTGTGGACACCTGACCATCAGACCCATATGTGGTTCTTCCCCAAACTGTTGCCACAAAGTTAGAATCACACAATTGTATAGAATGTCTTTGTATGCTGTAGCATTACAGTTTCCCTTCCCTGGAACTAAGAGGCCCAAACCTGTTCCAGCATGACAAACCCCTGTGCACAAATAAATTCATAATGATTTTATTGTCCCTACACGATATTACATTGCCACGATATCCAGTGATGTTTATTTCACATTGCGTTTTATTAACAGACCTGCTACCCGTTACACACTTTTTTTTTTATGCATTATCGCTCAGAAACATGCCAAAAGCTCAGTCTTTTTCTCCCCAGTAAGATTGGAGATGAGCCAATAAACATGTGATTTATTTAATATTAATGGACACTTCCTGAAAGCCCCGCCCCCTTCCCCCAATCTCACATGCTGTGACTCACGCTGACTCCCTCGCGTTCCATAAAGGTAAGTGGAGCGTATTTTAAATTCATTAACGTGAAATAAAATCTACCAGCATACGTTCGACATAGACTTTAACCTTATTATATTTAGATCAACATTAGACTTTAACTTTACTATATTTAGATCAACATTAGACTTTAACCTTACTATATTCAGATCAACATTAGACTTTAACCTTACTATATTTAGATCAACATTAGACTTTAACCTTACTATATTTAGATCAACATTAGACTTTAACATTACTATATTTATTAGAGGTGCCACCAAAACGTTTTGGCCGAAAATGGTCAAAACGGAAGTTGAAAGAGAGAGAGAAATAATGTTAATAATGTTAATGGTGATAACTAGAAGGTGATTAAAGATGATGTTTTTTCTTCCTGCTCTCTCCTGCACTCTCTTGCTCAACAACGAAAATGTTGGCCATGTAAAAGGATTATATCAGTGTGTTGTGTTTTTTTTTTCCATTTTTAAAAATTTTTTACTGTTTACTGCACATTACTGCAGAATCACTTAAAAATCCACCATCCAACTGAGTTTTCACAATTGCCACGGTTAACAATTTCACAGTTAGTAATATTATTACACACTCCTGTACTCTCCTTAAAACTGAAATGGTGGAAATGCTCACTTTTCTATGTTCTTGAGGTGAACGGTTCTGGACGATTAAATCGTTTATGGCGATATTTTCAAGTGGAAAATAGTGAACAGGGAAGAATCAATATCGCACAAGCCTCGTGCATGCTAATCAGT